GAGAGAAGATAATGGTGTCAAATTTTGGAAGCCTGGGAAGCAGATGACCGAGTAGTAACTGACTTGGCAGACTCAAGAAATCCGAATCCTAAACCAGATGTAGGGAAAGCTGAGAATTCAGCTGATTTAAACCACAGAATCCTTACCAGGCCCAGGACTGGCAAGACTGTGTACTCCTAGAGCAGGGGTGTAGGATGCTAAAATAAAGACGATAAATAGGGAAAGCTGCTTGAAGAAAGATCCCTAGATTCCTCTCCTCACTGGCAGAATTCTGGAAGCTTAGACTCTGGAGAACATAAAACAGAAATGTCTAGTATTTACTTTAAAATCATCTAGGGAAGAGGTTGGGGGATACAGATGAAACAAAAATGTCCATGAAGTGATCACTGGTGAACCTGGGTGATGGGACTACAGGGGTTCATTGTACTATCCTCTCTACTTTTGTAAATCTTTGAAATTTTCCATAATAAAAAGTGAAGAGTGTCTCTGGCCTGGGAGTACCCAGCACGGTTGAAGGGGAACATAAAGACAGGGCACTACGTTACTGAAGGAGGAGAGCAACATATTCCCATGATACCTCTCCTCTCGACTACCAGAACAGCGTGAGGTAGACGGCACTCTGCGAAGGAGCATGGGAGACTCCTCCTAGGTGAATGCAACCAAGGGAAAAACTGAAGATGCTGCCCCAGGGGCTCCCAACAAACAGCCCACCAGATCACACCACAGTGAAGCTCAGAGTTAATAATCTCCATCCCACATTCAGTTTCCTGACAGCTTTTTATTTTTTTTGATAGTTTTATTAATAACTCATACCCAATTCACCCTTTTAATGCATACAATTCAGTGGTGTTTTGTATATTCACAGAGTTATACAACCATAACCACAATCAATTTTAGAATATATTCATCACCCCAAGGAAAACTCTATACCCATCAGTAGTCACTTTGCCTTCCCTCCACTCTCCAGCCCCAGGCAACTACTAATCTATTTTCTGCCTATATAGATTTGCCTATTCTGGACATTTCATATAAATGAAATCATACACTACGTCGTCTTGTGTGAGTGGCTTCTTTCATTTACCATAATGTCAAGTCCTAACAGTTTTTTTACCACGCCCACCTCCCCCACCCCCCCTCACCCAGTGGTTCCCTTAATCAGGAGCAATACAGCCAAGGATCAGAGTCAGAGGAACATCTTGGGAAAGCCTCTAATGAAGACACAGACCACAGCAGACCCAAAAAAGCAACTTGAAGGAAACAGATACTAAGCAACGTAATACCACTAATATTCTCAAAAAAATGAAATAAAACTGCATCCATGAAGTGCAAACAGGATACTATTAAAAGGAAACACCAAGAACAAAAAAGCTCTTAGAAATTGACAACAGCAAAAATAAAAAATTTAATAAAATGACTGAAAATAAAGTTGAGGAAATCTCCTAGAGAGTAAAATCAAAAGACAAAGATACAGAAAACAGGAGAGAGAAGTTAGGAATACTCTAGAGGACAAGTACAGGGGGTCCAATATCTGAATAAGAGAAATTCCCTGGAAAGAGAGAAAGAAAAAAGAAAGAACAATCATAATACTATAATTTGATAAAACTTCGAAGAACTGAGGGGTGCAGGTTGCCAGGTTGAAAGGGCCCAGCACAAAAAGCACAGTGTTAAATTTCAGAAAACTGCAGACAAAGAGAACAGTCAACAAGCTGTCAGAGAGGAGAAAATCAAACAAACAGGCTATATACAAAGAATCAGAAATCAGAACACTTCCGACTTCTCAACAGCATCAACAAAAACAAGACGACAAGGGAGCAATAGCTTTAAAATTCTGAAGGAAAATTATTTCCAGCTGAGAATGTAATACCCAGTCAAACTATCGATCAAGTATGAGGATAGAACAAAGATATTTTCAGGTATACAAGATCTCAGATATTCACATTGCATGTACCCCTTCATAAGAAGCTCCTGGAGGGTGTCCTTCACTAAGCGATACACAAGAAACAGAGGATCTAGTAGAGACAGGCAACAGAGAACCCCAAGATGACTACCACATGAAGAAGCCAACCAGACCAGAGAAATACAAGCCAAGGAACAGACATGTTGAAGACAGTTATCACCAACAACCCCATAGAGGGTGCCATTAAACCCTCTTTGGTGGTGGTGTTCTAAATATTTTAAATGTATGACTATAAAATTTTCAAACTCAAAAGCAGACCTCCAATACCTCCAATACCCATCAGCCAGATTCAACATTTATGAACACTTTGGCATGTTAACTTAATCTATCCCCTTTTTTCTATTTTTTCTTTGTTTAATATTTTAAAACAAATTCCACATCATATCATTTCACCCCTATGTACTTCAGAACCCATCTCTACATTGCCCATTTTCTAACATCACAATACTATTATCACTCCTAGAAAAATTAACAATAATCCCTTGATATCAGTCCATAATAAAATTTTCCTAACATCTCAAAAATGCTTTTTTATAATTAGACTGTTATGACCTGAATTGTGTTCCCTTCCAAAAATTTATATGTTGAAGCCCTATGCCTCAGTACCTTAGAATGTAACTGTAATTGGAGATAGGGCCTTTAAAGAGGTAATTAAGTTAAAACAAGGCCTTTAGGGTGGGCCCTAATCCAACGTGACTGGTATCCTTATGAGAAGAGGAGATGAGGACACACAGAGAGACACCAGGGCCACATGTGTGCAGAGGGATAATCATGTGAAGAGGCAGAAAGAGGGCGGCCATCTGAAAACCAGGGGAAGAGGCCTCACAGGAAGCCAATCTTGCCAGCACCTTGATCTTGGGCTTCTAGCCTTCAGAACTGGGAGAAAATAAATTTCTGTTGTTTAAGTCACCCAGTCTGTAATATTTTGTTATGGCAGCTGTAGCAAACTAACACACAGACTATCCAAATCAAAACAAGGTTCATACATTACATTTGGTTATAATTCTTAAGTCACATTATTATTTTTTTTCATGCCATTGACTTGTTGCAGAAGCCAAGTCAGTTGTCGAACACTCTGAATTTGTCCGCTTGCTTTCTTAGAATGTACTTTAACTTGTCATCCTTCCTCCCATCTTTCCAACAAATTAAAGTGAGCTCTAGAGGCTTGATTAGATTTAGAGGCCAACTTTAGGTAAGAATATTCCATAGGTGGTACTGCATACTCTCTTTTTAACCTGACAAAGAATGATAGGTAAACTGGTCCAGACTTTTTTCTGACTCTATTTGCCTTGACCATGTGCTGATGAAGTACCTGCTCACCCCCTCCATGGCATCTGTCTGGGTTAGTTGATGGCACTCACTTCATCCCACAGAAGAGTTTTGCCTTGACCTACTCCCTGAGAGCTGGAGGTAGGCCATGGAGGGACTAGAGGCAGAAAAGACAGAGCAGTCCACTCTCTGTGACCATACCCTACCAGATGTCCAGTGCCTGGCCCATACTACAGCCCAGTCAGATGCCCCAATAGTGGTAAGCCTTATATTTCCTAGGATTCACTTACAACCTTGCCCACTAACTTGCCCATTAGGACCTTTTGCAACCCCCAAGGAAGCTAAAGCCAGACTATGACCCTGAGTCAGTTGAGCTCATTTTTAGATCTAATAGTGGCAATGCTCCCCTTTTCTTACAAAACTTGCTGTATTTATGCTTATTTGTTTAAAAAAGCTAAACAACATACAGTTTAGTAATACAAGCATGGGTGGTTAAACCATAAAGAAAAGAAAGGGAATAATCAACACAAAAGTCAGGATAATCACTGCCTCTGATGAAGAGGGAAGGAGACATGATTTGGGGGCAAAGGGTACACAAGCAGATTCTAAGATACCAATAATGTTCAATTTGATAAACTGGATGGTGAATACACAATTTTCATTTTATTATTCTTCTTTAAACTATAAATTTATATTTAAAACACTCTTTAGTATGTATGATATATTTCATATTAATTCCCTTTATGTGAGCAGTCCACTGTGGCTAGAACACAGGGTTTGAAAAGTAGAGTGAAAAGAGAAAAGACTGGAAATGGAGTTTACTCTGAAGGTAAATGGGAGCCTCAGTGATGCTGTCTTGGGAGTGTCGTCAGGGTACATTTATACCCAAGATCAATTAAAATGGCTTTCTCACAATCTATCCACCAAGAACGATAGGAAAAACCCTTTTTTTACCTACTAAGTTACCTAGAGATGAAGTATCCGACACTGTAAGACTCACTGGGAAATATAATAATATAGTTTTGATGTATTTTTCCAGTGAAAGAAGATTCAGCTTTCCCTAGGGAACACATTTGCCTCAAATCCTTAAATGATACAAAGGTGGGAGGAATGCAGAAAAAATGTTTTAGATGACAGAATTGGGATATATCTTGGCAAGCTGGAGTGACAGGTCAAATCTAGCCCAACTTATATCAACATTTACCATTTACCAAGAACATATGATATACCAAGAGGTTAACATAATTTATCTCATTTAATCCTCACAACCCCACTGGGAAGCTGAGACCCAGGGAAGTAACTCACCCAAGGTCACAAAGCAAGTCAATAGCAGAGTCATGATTTTAACCTAGGTTTTCAGATTCAAGTTTCAATCTCAAGTGAGATTTCTTCAGCTACCAGAAATTAACATTTAACAACTGAATCCTCTTTACTTGAATTCAGTCTGTCACCCTCAGGGAACTGCCACCCAACCCAATCCCCCTTGGGCATATGAGGGTATCAGAGCCTCAGAAAAATAATTAGAACAGACTGATTTCATTCATTAATGTAACATTTGGGGACCCTCTGACAGCTGCCAGGAAACCTCTATCTGCCCTTGAGAGCAAGTCAGTAAGCTGTAAGAGGATTCTCTCTGCTATCCATTCCCAGCTCAGCTATGTCTGCTTCCCCATCTGTATTGAAGACTTTGCAAAACTCAAGCTCTGAGTTGTAGATGGGGGTCCTTTATCACACAGATTGCTGAGAAAGAACCCTTAGCCAGCCGGTTCCCCACATTCAGTTTTCTCTCATCCTCAGGGCCACTGTGATTTGATGGGTGTGCGTAGCTAAGAGAATAGGCTACAGTGCACAGTTATATCCCATGGAGCAATCCCGAAAGACAGCCAGAGAATTTTAATGAAAACCAGAAAACTCCTGGCTGCTAAGTCCAACTGCAGTCCAGGCCCACCAGCCCCTCCCCCTGCAGCTAAGAATCCCAGAGCCAGCTTCACCCCAAAGAGCAGGGAGGAATATCTATTTTGCATTCAGCAACATTTTCCATAGCAGCCACTTTCCAGGGTCATTTAGGTGAGAAGCAAGGCATAAGCTAATTGCAATAGGACCCAGGGACCCTGAGAAACACAGGGTGCGGCAGCAGCAGATCTGAGCCAACAGATTATGAAACAGTCATTTAAAAAAAAAGCCTCTTTCCTTCTGCCAAAGCTGTCTGAACACAGCTGCATGCAAGGCTAGTGAGGAATCTTAACAAGCTTAAAGGGACCGTATTTCAGATACTTGAAAACCAAAGGTGGAGGAAATGAGTATTTTGAGCACTTACTATGTGTACGGTGCTCTGATCTCATTTCACCTTTACTGTGAGGTGGGAATTACAAACTGCATATAACAGATAGAACACTGACTCAGAGAGGTTAGACAACTTGTCCAAGGCACACAGGTGGCAGGTGGGGAACCAAGACTCAAAGTTCAACATGGATGAGGCTCATCAGAAATAAACTCAAAATCCTGACCTGTCCTAATAAAAAGAACGAGCATTTACTGAACATTGACTATGTGCCTGGAACTAAGCTAAGAATTTTGTATGCACCATATCATCTAATCCTCACAGCAATTAGATAAGGTAGGAGTCGTTATTATCCCCATTTTCGATGAGGAAACTAAGGCTAGATGTTAAGTAATTTGGCCAAGGTCATGACATTGCCAGGATTTGAATCCAGGTCTATCTAATTCTGGAGCTCACCTGTGAAAACATTCACCCTAACAGCCTACAGAGGGGAACCAGCTAGGCCATCATGCCAAAAAAGCAAGTTGCCTAGAGATTTCTGCCCCCTTCTCAGCAGGTAATCTATGTTCCAGGGTTTCTTTTCAATTCCTCCGAGCACTCCTCAGTGGGGGCACAGAATCACTGGCTCTGGGAGGGCTGACAGTGACATTTCCACCTTCCCAAGGACTGTGGGATCTGTTGACACCGCGTGTGTGAAGGAGAAGGCTACCACCATGATCCCAGGACACCTGTGAGTATAGACGCTGACAGCTCCTTTAGCAAGCTCTGCTTCACAGGCCCACACACTTCACAGCAAAGCCCCCTCCTCCAACAGCTCACAGACCTGTTTTGTATTCTTAACAGCAGACCACGTGCCTCCTCTTAGAGCAACTGTGATTTCCCAAAGGAGACGACTGTCTAGACAGAGCATCCCAATCCATCTTGACAAAAGATGGGCCACACAATGTTAGGTTTGATCATTTATTTTCTTGGGGTCTGTGTTCAGCACCCTAGTGAAGGCTCTGAGCGTAGTACCTCTGGGTTATCAGACTGAGTACCACTCAGCTCAACAGCTGACATCTGGGGTTAGAACTGTCTTCCCAGCCAGGCAATCATCACCTGAGGGAAGTCACAGGCATCTTACACTCAGGCTTATGGGTCACACACACACAGGCACACCAAACAGTTCCATTTGTCAGGGTGAAACTTGATAGAACCGTTCTATACGTGTTCGGAATTAAGCACCAGGCTTTGAGGTGGACTGAACAGCTAATGTGTGCCAGGTACTGTGACAGGTACATTCACAGCCGATATCTTAATTAATCTTTACAACATTTTGTGAAGTAGATAGGACTGCTATTAGACAGATGAGGCAACTGAAGCCCATAGAGGTAACATAATTTGCCCAAAGTCACACAGGAAGTGGCAAAGCTCAGAATCAAACACATTTTTAATATGACTCCCATGCTCTTAATCCAGTCAATCACGAGTCCATTCATTTATTCCTCAGATATTTATTGAGCACTTTCTATGGGCAGCTTACTGTGCCCCTTGTAGAGGATACGACTGTTAACATGATAGCCTAGATCCAGTCATCAAAGGACTTATGTTCTCATGAAGAGAGAAGACAATGCAATCTGAAAGATAGGTACAGGATGATGAATGATCAGGGCAGACCTTTCAGAGGAAGTGGCATCTGAGCTGAGACCTAAAAGATAAGAACGAGCCTGCCATTTGCAAAACTAGGAAAAGAAGAGCATAGGCAGAAGAAACAAGAACTGCGAGGGCTGTCTGCAGAAAAAGGCTTGACACATCTGAAGAACGTAAAGGCCACCAGCCACCATGGCTGAGTGAGCCACAGGGAAGAAAGAATGTCTGAGATGAAGCAGGGCCTGTTGACCACAGAAAAGAATTTGGATTTTGTCGTAAGGGCAATGGGAAATCAAAGAAGAGTTTTAATTAGGGCAGCGATAAGATCTGATTTGTGCTCTAAAGGGAAAATTCCGGTTGATGTGTGGAGAAGGGAGTGCAGGGAGGGGCAAGAGTTAAGAATCAAGGGAGAGATGAGGGTGGCTCGGTCCAGGGTGGGTGATGGTAGCAGAGATGGATTTTATATTTGGAGACTGGACTGAAAAGTCTTGCTGATGGATTGTATGTGAATAGTGAGGGGAACAAACTCCTAGGTTTCTACCTTGAACAACAAGTGGATGGTGGTATTACGTATTATGAGAAAGACTAGAGGAAAAGCAAAATGCTTATGAGGTAGCCATGCTTTGCATTCTATATCACACCATGAAGAAAAACAAAGCAGACCTAGTTGTGTTTGTTCAGGGGAAGCTGTGAATTAAAGGCTTGAAGCTGCTTAACCTGGTGAAGAGGTGTTAGGGGGTGAAAATGAAGAGTAAACAGCAAAAATCTGAAAGGTTGCCTTAGGAAACGGGGGTTCCACTTACCTCATGTGGCCATCCGTCACTGCTAAACTGGGACCAATGAGCAGAAGGCGGACATAGGAAACGAGTTCAGGTATATGTAGGGAAGGGCTGTCTCGTGGTCAGAGCTGTGAAAGTGGAATGAGCTGCCTTGGGGTGATGATGGCCTTCCTGTCACTGGAAGTGTTAAAGAATAAACCAGATGACCCCTTGGCTAGATGGTTAGAGAGAGAATTTAGTAACTGAGTGGGCAAAATGCTACCAAAAAATCCTCCTAAACCCTAGAATTCTGTGGTTTTAAGATAAAGTCTTGATTAATCTGACCTTCAGGACTGGAGCTTCCCTAACAGGGAAGAATTTCCTTGGTATGGCCTTCCTTTTAGAAGGCAACTGAGAACAATATTAGCTTACTTCAATCACTATGAAGTGACTCCTAGTTCATTTCTAAGTGTCATACAAAATGCTGAAGAGCTTTTGGTGTAAGTAAAAGGCAAAAGCTATGGAATCAGATATCCCAGATCTGCAATTTATTAGCACTGTGACCTTTGGCAAGATATTTAAATCCTCTGAGTCTCAGTTTCTCTTTCTGAAAAATGGCAAAATGCCAAATTCAGGATGTTTGCTGTAAGGACCAAAGCCCGGTGTCTGACACATTAAAGTAAGAATAATAATGATAATTAACATTTATTGAGCCATTACTATATGCTATGCATGTGCTATATGCTCTATGTGCATTTTTTTCATCTAATCCTTACAACAACCCATAAGGTAGGCACTATTATTATCCCTATTTAAAAAATTAGAAAACAGATTTCTAGAGGTTAAGTTGCTTATCCAAGAGTCATATAGCTAGTAATTACTCAAATTAGGAAAAAACAAACAAATAAACAAACTTCAACAAAGATTGAAAGAAAAAGACAAAGAAAATCTTTAGATTATTATTTTTTTTTAATTTTAACCATCCAGTGTTTTGTTTTATTTATTTATTTATTTATTTGTGAGGAAGACCAGCCCTGAGCTAACATCCATGCCAATCCTCCTCTTTTTGCTGAGGAAGACTGGCCCTGAGCTAACATCCGTGCTGATCTTCCTCCACTTTATGTGGGATGCCGCCACAGCATGGCCTGACAAGCACTGTGTTGGTGCACGCCCGGGATCCGAACCCGGGCCGCCAGCAGTGGAGCAAGCGCACTTAACCACTACACCACGGGGCCGGCCCCTAGATCATTTTTAAAATGTAACCTACTGTTAAATTTAACAAACAATTCAATTCACTGACTAGACATTTAGTAAATATTTATTGAACATGTAAATGAATAGCTGAATGAATGAATTATTCCAACAAACATTTATTGAGTTCCTACCAGGCACAGCATCAAGAAACTAGGGTTACATAGAATTTACATCAGTTTAATTGAGAGTTTGCCATTCAAACCACAATCTTCAAACTGTAGAAAAATAGCCAACATAATGACCCATAGTCCATGAAAAAAGGTTCTAAGAAATATCATTCACATACAGACCAAGAGAAGCCAGAATTACTCTTGTTCTTTCTTTGGGATGTCGAAACTGTTAGAGGGGTGCTCAGAGCAGCAGGCAGAATACTAAGAGCACATAATAAGTGGAAGCCGACGAAGGAGATAATCTAAAAGACCAGACAAGTAAGACTCCCAAAGGAAGCAGAAATCTAAGAAAACAAAGGCTGGCTTAATAACTAGGAGTTTCCTGATGAACTTCACCCGAATTAGGAAAGAAACCAAGTCTCAAAGGGCATTTGGATGAATGGGTTAAAGAGGAAGAGGAGGCAGTCTTTTAAAAAGTTCCGGGATAAAAAAGAGAGGGAGTGAATAGCAGCCTGGTGAGGAGGAACAGAAAGACTATTGATAAAGCGTAGAAGGTGAGGAGTAGGAGCCAAAAGAAAAGGCAAAGCTAAAGACAGAAGACAGAAGGAGGAGCTAAAAGAAAGAAATAGAAGGAGGACTAGACCCAAAGAAGTCAAGACGGGCAGGACAGAACGCACAGGAGAAAGGCTACCCTTGGGAAAGGAAAGGTCACCTTCTGCTCTGCAACAGGAATGAAGGAGAGAGTTTAATGGATGGGCATTGTGAAAGTTACTCTGAATCAAGCTTGATGAATACAGACAGTAATCAAGTTAGATAATACTATTTGGAGCTTAAAATGGTATTGATTTTCTTGGGCCACTCATAAATTGGTATTGAAAAGGACAACCATCATTTGGATATAAATTCTATACAATTAAAAATCAGACTTACTGAGATGTGCTTATAGTCTTTTTGTGTGTGTGTGTGTGTGTGAGGAAGATCAGCCCTGAGCTAACATCCATGCCAATCCTCCTCTTTTTGCTGAGGAAGACCGGCCCTGGGATAACATCTGTCCCCATCTTCCTCCACTTTATATGGGACACCACCACAGCACGGCCTGACAAGCGGTGCATGGGTGTGCGCCCGGG